AGCTTGATTTCGTGTGTAACTACGTATTCTTAATTAGTTTTGTGTACCTTGATTTTCTGGTTGAAGGAAAGAAGTTAAAAATAGACATTTATACACCATTCGATAGACAATTTCAAGAGCTACATTTGCACTATTTATATTTGAAAAAAGGATTATTTCGATTTTCCGCCTAATTTCCGCCTATATGCCCACTGTGTGTAGCTGTTTAGTATAGAAAATGAAGACTTGAGACTACATATTTTATATGAAAATAAATTCTATTGACTTTAATTACGTTGACAAGTAATATGATCAGTCTAAGGCTCTTATCTCTCTCTCTCATTGAAAATCGTCAAAATTATAGTAGATGTATTTATTACTCTACAACAATAACATTTAATGGCATTATCTGTAAAACGAGGATGCTATTTTAAAACAAATTGAAAAAGAAGTATTTCAAAGAATTAAAGTTTTAGAACAGTTGACACATATTATGTACACAACGCTATCATTATTTTGCTGACTATTAATATTGAATAATAGACTAAAATAATGTACAACAATAACATAAATTTTGCTGCCTTGCACTAATATATGAATTAATCTGTCTGCCATTTAATAACACAGATGTACCGACGACCACATATAAAGAGACAAGAAAACTAGAGAATAAATTAAATGGGACTAAAATAATATCAATTAATTTAATATTCGCCTTCGTCTTCTCCCTCAGCCGGTGCAGTATCAGCTCCAACTTCTTCATAATCCTACAAACAAACATGTTCTTTTAATCAAATCTGTTCTTTTTTACACTCTTAAAGCTATTACTTTTTCTAACATTGCCAAATCTTCTCGAGCTTCGCTAAATTCGCCTTCTTCCATACCCTCACCGACATAATGATGGACAAAGGCTCGTTTTGCATATAGTAAATCAAACTTATGATCTAGTCGCGCCCATGCTTCTGTAAAATGTAATTCGATATGATAATAGAACGAGTAAAACGCGATAGTTACCTGCAATAGCAGTCGTATTAGCCATCATACATGCTGCACGCTGCACTTTTGCCAAATCACCACCTGGCACAACTGTGGGTGGTTGATAGTTTATTCCAATTTTAAATCCTAAATATATACAGAAGATTTTGAATGAGTACTAGTTTGGCAAGAGAGTGTCAGTTCTTACCTGTGGGACACCAATCAACAAACTGAATATTTCTATTTGCTTTTAATGTTGATATCGTAGCTATAAATGAAGTTGAAGTCAGTAAGCAATGCAATTTTAAACCAATAATAATTAAGAAATACGGAAATATGAAGAGATCTGGTCATGAATAATAATCTCTTACCATTAATGTCTTTTGGCACAACATCTCCACGATCTGAAATATTCAAATATATTTAATTTATTTAATTTATTAATTCATTTTATATTTAATGAATACTTACATAGAATACAACAGGCCATGTATTTTCCATGTCTTGGATCACATTTTACCAATTGATTTCCTGGTTCGAACAATGCACTGGTAACCTCTAAAAAATTAAATATTTCATTTTTTACACTAAGAAAATTGATAAGATCTAATTTGCATCATACCAGATGTTGTTAATTGTTCATGATAAGCTTTTTCAGCTGATATAATGGGTGCATATGTTGTTAATGGAAAATGAATACGTGGATAGGGTACAAGATTAGTTTGAAATTCTGTCAAATCAACATTAATTGCACCATCAAATCGAAGTGATGCTGTTATGGAACTAATCACTTGAGCCATTATACGATTAACATTTGTATATGTGGGCTTTTCTAAATCCAGGTTACGTCGACAAACATCATAGACAGCTTCATTATCAATACAAAAACAGCAATCAGAATTTTCAAATGTACTGTGTGTAACTGAAATAGAATTTAGTATCATTAATAATCTGTCAATGTGTAGTAGACAATTTTACTTACCTAATATTGAATTGTATGGTTCAACCACAGCTGTTGCGATTCTCGGCGCAGGATAAACAGCAAATTCTAATTTGGATTTTTTACCATAATCAACAGCTAAACGTTCGACGAGTAACGAGGTAAATCCTGATCCAGTTCCTCCACCAAATGAGTGAAAAACAAAAAATCCTTTAAAAATAACAAAACTTAGCATGTATATGAATTGATGTTGAGAAGAAAAAAAATCTCTTTAATACCGAGAAGACCCGAACATTGATCGGCCAGTTTTCGAATTCGATCTAATACTAAATCAATAATTTCTTTCCCAACAGTATATCGTCCACGTGCATAATTGTTAGCTGCATCTTCTTTTCCACTAATCAGTGTTTCTGGATGAAATAATTGACGGTATGTTCCTGTTCGAACTTCATCTAAATGATAACATAATCATTAATTAGTTCAATTTCATTAGAAGAAACATGCAATAATCGTTGAGGACATTTCTTATGTCCAAAGAAGTATATTAAATATCATAATCGTTTCATTAAGGAAAAGTTTATGAACAAATCTCATGTTCAGAAGCAAAACTAATTTTCACTTTCTAAAACGTTTTATCTTTTAGTAGCTGAAAATTCTTCAAAAAAGATTTTGTGCTACTCTTACTGAAGAAATGTTTTTTAAACTCTCCTAGTCTGTTGTTAATTGTTTTTGAAGAGATACTAAAACAGGTGGACATGAATTTACATCAAAAACAGTATTGGTAGAGGAGAATTTTTACGAATCGCTTACCGATAACTGTTGGTTCTAAATCAATAAATACCGTTCGGGGAACATCTATATGAAAACAAATTTGAGTATAAAGATAAGATTTAACGATCTATTAAAGCGAACTCTCATCAGTCATTTAACAAAAACTCTGATTAGTCGTCTGTAAGCTAAAAAGAGATAAATATGATTTTCCATAGGAATTTAGACAACGCTAAACTCTCAGATACAAATACAATATACTCATTTTATCTTTAGATAAATGGCGGTTATAAAAATAAAATTTTGAGAAGTATAGAGCAAACGTTCTTCTAGTTCAACTGAGAACCGAACAAAAAGTTTCAGTCATTTTTTTTTCACATTTTACTTCTATCTCACTGCTTAGTGCATGTATTAGAGATTCTTTCTCAAAAATTTTGCAAGTTCTGATTGAACAAAAGGATTTGACTCGATTTAATATCCTCTAATCTTCTAGATAAGATGGATACAAGAAAATACTGTTAAAAAAATGATTAGCCCTCATAGAATATTTCATAATTAGATGAGCGTTTACTATGATCAGTTTGCAGCTTGTTCGCTTACATTTGCCCGCTCCTGTTTCAGCGAAAAATGTTTGAAAACTATCATCCCCACTTCCCAGTGTGGCATCCGTTGGCATTTGACCATCAGGTTGAATACCATGCTCTAAACAATACAATTCCCAACAAGCGTTGCCAATTTGAACACCACATTGCCCAATATGAATAGACAAACATTCACGCTGAAACAAGACATTTTAGAAGCATATTTTAATAAATACATTTAACACACATTTTATAATCAGTGAATCTTACCATTCTGATTAAGTATCGATTGTGTATGTAACCTGTGCGTCTACTGATAAAACGCAAAAATTGACTTATAACAAACAACTAATAAAATGACGATATATTCAAATTGATCAGTGTATAGTAGAAAAAAAAATTAAGGATCAACAATCAACAATGATGTGTGATGTATACGGTAATTTATTGTGTATTTGTTTTAGTACCCAAAATACTTGAATACTTAGAAATAGTCAAAAGTCAAATTAGACTGTTTCGATGGGTTTCGGCGCGTTGTTAATTTAAGAAAAGTAACAGCATAGCGATCTATATTAACTATTAGTTTCTAGTTTTTAATGTACATGAATATAGTATACACAATATGATAAAAAATCGTTTCTGTCCGTACATACGATGAAGAGAAAAAGAGAGAGTATAAGCGTAAAGTTAATTAAGTAACAGTGCGCAATAGTAGAGAGGTAACATTACGATTATTAGCAAAGACAAACAGTTGCATTTTTGAAGACTGACAGATGTTAAAGTCGTTTTTTAAGTAACGTACATTTGTTTGAGAAAAAAAATTCAGAATACACTTACTGTTTTGGTCAGTTGAAATAGGACGTAAGAAAGCTGTTAGTTCTTCATTTGATTCATCTTGCACATCTCTCTACTTGAGAGCATCCAGCACTCTATATTAGTCACTTTAATGGTGCAGACACCAGTTCAAACTTACTACGAACATTGAAAATGTTTTTTTCGCCACCAGTCACATTAACAAACAGAAGAATCTGAGTTTTAATGATTATTTAGTGGAAATAGATAAAACATTTTTGACGAAATGAACTTATACAGTCTGCTTTCAAACTTCTGAAAAAATACCATTTAAAAATATTTGATGAAGTTGTTAATAATTATAAACCAAACATTATAGAGCGATCATCGTAACAGCCGTTTTATGTTTTGCTAGTCATTATGTTAATACTTCATGAAAAACTTTCGATTGATCCCAATTAAGAACATTTTTTCATTTTTAAAAGGTGTTGGGAAATGAATTTAAGAAAAACCGCTAAAATTGAGTATTCCTGCTCAAATTTCCATTTTTTAAACGCAAAATTTGACTATTATTAAGTTTTTTTAGCTTGGATACGTTTACATTTCCGTAGGAAAAAACTTCATCATTAGTGTACGCTCAGTAAAGAATAGAGAAGGGCGAGTACTCGTACCGTTTCTGAAGTACTCGTACTCGACGATTGAGAACTTGGCACTCATAAAATGCTTGTTGGAGCACTTTTACATTTTGATTTTTGAATACATTTTAACTAAAAACGGCTTTTTTTATGTCTCAAATGAGCTTCATCTAATATCATCGATTAATTTAATTTTCCTCAGATAGGGTATATATTTTGTAGACTAATAGTCGAAAATATTATCTGTTCTGCTCTGTTCGCATCATTACTCGTTCAATGACACTGAACATCTCGGAAAATAGAAGAATGAAGATGTGAACTTTTAAATATTCGACCACTATACGGAGAAAAAAATCAAAGTAAAAAATGTTGAGTACTTGCACAAAAAAACCAGTATTCCTCCTCCATCTCTGATAAAGAACAATATAATACAACTACATGGGATGAAAGTAAGTAAAACAGAAGTGAAAATAAAATATAGCACTGGTCCCTTTCACATATTAGGCAGTATTCTAGATCAAACGAAAATTAATGTAAGATTGTTTCATTTCATATAAACTACGTTTGATGCAATCGCTTCGTTCTTCGTACCTGTTTGTTTTACTATGCTGTTAATATGTATATTACGCTAAAAAAAAAAGTTCAACAACTTTCAGTAACGATATATACAGTTTAAGAAAAAAAAACTCGTATAAATAATACGAGCAATAACAAGATAAAAGAAGATTCAACGCTTAAGCAAGCAATACTGTACAACTCAAAAGAGATAAAAGAAATTGCATGTGTATACGGAAAAAAAGAACAAAGAGCTCATTTGACTATACAAAAATACCATTCAGTATATATAAAAGTGACTAAAGATATCCATCAGTTGTTATTATCTGACATTAAATCGGAAGATTAGAAAAAATTATTCAGTTTTTGAGATTGTAAAATAAGCACCTCTTAAAACTGATTGAGGAAAACATGTTTCAAGAAGAGACATTTCCAGATATGGACATTCATTAACAAATTGATCTAATAATATATATGTTGCTTCTTTATGGATAATATCACCATTGTTTGTCGTTGACGAACTATTTCGATGATGATGATTATTACTGGTAATCGAACAATTAACATCAATCAATCTTAAGAGACTACATGATGCTAGTGCAAGAAATTCTTTACATCTTTCTTCAATATTTGTTTGACCATATTCTAAGAAAAATGTGACTATTAACGTATTAATTGCTTTTGTTATACAATGTGAATTATTTGTATGTGCATTTAATGCCGGAATATACTTTGTACTTTCTAATTTGGCTAGACGTGGTATTGCCACAGCAATATAAACAATAATTAAACACGATAATACATAATCATCGGATTCAACATTGACGATTGATGTAGTTGATTGTTTTTGATTTATTAAAGCTTGACAAAGTGTTGAATCAATGATTGTTGGAGAACCAGTAGATGAAAACATTTCATTAATAAGTAAATCATGTTGTTGTTGTTGACTATTAGTTCGATTACTATTATTAAAAAATGTTGTTTTATATTGTTGATAAAAATGTTCTAATGTTGACATCAAAAATGGCATTCGTCGTTTTAATACATCATTCAATGATTCTTCAATCAACGTTTTTAATTGTAATAAAACACCAATTAAAATAACACGTTGTAATAATAAATCAACATTTTCCAATTGTTTTAAATATAATTTCATTTGATTTGGTTTATCAAAATTGATACGTAAATTATTTAATAGATCACGTTGTTGATGAGTTAATTTTCGAATCTCATTTATTTGTTGAACACAACGATATAAAATCATTTCACATAAATATTTACAACCATCTTAAAAGAGAAAAGTTCAAAGTTCAAATACTGTTTTTTTTTCAGTACTACTTTTCTAGAAAAGTTTTTTTTGTTTTAAAGAGATATTCTCTCTCACTCAACAACCTTATGTGATTACAGTCGAATAACATTAGCCAGACAAATATAGAAACAATGCACAGTGGAAAAAAATTCTTACATGGTTTAATTAATTCGACTAATGCTCTTAATTCATTGTATGAGGCATATTCTTCTGGATCGAATGGTATCGTTAAATCTTGTTGATATATACTAACAAATGATTTTCTTATTGGTGAATAAACAATATGTCCCATTGTTATACGTTTAATTAACACTTCCAGAAACCAATGTGTATAAAGTGATGTTATTGTCTCACTACCAGCACTGTCCAATGGTTGACTCTGTTGTAGTAATACTTCATTAAATATTCGAATTGTATCAATTTGACAATGAGATTCAACTAATGTTAATATATCCATATAAGATTCTACAGATGATAATAATTCAGATGGTTTTGATATTTCCATTTGTGGTGGATGATAATTAACCATTTCTGATAAGGATTTATTAAATCGATTTTCTAAATGAGATGTTAAATATTCGGTGGGTAGAAATTTATGTTCCCAAATAATAATATGTTTTCGATAGGATATTGTAAAACAAAGTTCATTTAAAACCATAATTAATTTATCAACTTTTGTCATGTCACGACGATTTGAACGACGAGATTCATCACCTGGAAGCATTACTATTGAACTTTGTACAATAGCCACTTCTTGTTTTGATGTTTGTTTCTTATTCGACGATTCTAATGCTTTCTTTTTCAATCGTGAAATAACAGCATTTTTTGGTAACAACTAAAATTTAAATAGTTCTAAAAAGAGATTAATTTATTTTGTTTCAACTTACTCGTTCATTCATTATAAAATATTCATTGGCTATTTCGGACACAGTACTTTTAATTTGTTTACATATTTCATCAATGAATGCGTGTGTACTTTTCAAACTTAGATCACCAATTTGTTGTCGTTCTTCGGGACATAATTCATGTGTAGCATTAATAAAATGTTGACAAACTAACGGAAATGCAATAGCATATCGTATTTGTGATGGATAATAAATACATGATGAAAATAGTTGATCAAATTGTGTTAAATAAAAGTAAAATATTGATAAATCACTTGTTTCAAATAGTAATGCGTCAATATCATCAACACATTTCGAATGAAATATAATTGTGTTCATTGTTTGTGCTAAACGTTCATTTTGAATAATGGTCATAGTCGATGATGTTTTTTTTGTTAAACTAATATACGCTTGCATACGAAACCAATCAAGACGTAGTGCACGAAGATCAATTGTATCCGCTGTCACCGCATTACTACTATCAGTAGTTCCAACACGATTTGATAATGTACTTATTGTATTATAGAATGATGACAATAAAATTGATTCATCTTCGGTACATGTCACATTTAAATTGGATATAATATTATTTAAATCAATGGGATCCAATTTTGATAAACATTCAATGTAATATTGTTTGATTACAGATGAATAAGTCACGATTAGAGAACGTAATTCTTCTAGAAAAAAAAAACGAAGAGATATTTATATTCACAAATCGATTAAAAATTTTCAATTTACTTACCAATATAGAATAAAAATTCTGGAAATGTTCGATCATTATAATCATCTCTATTCGATGTACCAGTTGATGTTGTTTTTTTTTCTTTTTGTAATTTAACTGGAAAATTTTCGCTATGACGAAGTAACCAGATGATTTCATCACGTGCCAGACTCAAACCGACAAATAATGTTAACATTTTTGGACCTAAAACAAACATATTAAGCTCAATTATAAGTAAAAAATGTTTAGATGATTATTACGTTTACCTAGTAGTGCAGGAGTATCGGCAAAGATTAATGCTAATTCTTTTAATTGTGGTCTGATGTATTTTCTTCTTTCTCGTCTATATAATGGTTGTTCATTAATCGCTTTTTTAAATGTATCATTTAATAATTCTGCTAACCGTAATTGTCTGTATTGTTTGTATATGTCTAAATTATTATTCAAATATTGATGTGTCATTAATAATTCATCACGATATAAAACATGAACAAATCCGCTTGATAATGCTTTCTCAAATAGTTGATAACATTTTCCATTTGTTATTAATTGTTGTGGACAAATAATCATCGAATAAATAATCCATCGTTCCATTAAATCTTGTGAAAGATAATCGCACGGTAATGTTTCAGATGTATCCATTAAATGAGAAGATGTTGATGATGATATGAGACTAAGTAATGTTTTTGAACGCCATTCAGATACTTTACACGTACGACGCTCATATATTGGTGTTAATGACTGAACAGCTTCACCTATCGAACGACTATGAGGAACAAATTCATCGTGTAATTTTTTCAATGGTTGATCATAATCAATAATTAATTGACCTAATCGAGGAAAACTCGAATCACCATGACCATGTGTTAAATCGGTGGCGACATTATATAAGCCCAGTACAATTTTTCGATCATCAACACGTGATAATAGAATCATTAATGAAATATATGTAGATATTAATTCTAAATAGGCTTTTGTTAAATCATAATTCAGAGCCTAAACAGATGATTAAAAGAAAAATATATATAGTTTAAAACATGGTCACGATGACTCCATTTATTACTTACAATATCAAAATGAACTTGACAAGCGTCAATTGTTGTTAACAAATCTGTCACATGATCCTAAGATATAATACACAAAATTTCAGTTAGTATTTCTAGAGTAGTCAAACTTTTAACATTTTAACCCTACACGAAATTCTAGTAAATCAACAAATGTAAAGTAATAAATTGCCAGTGATTTAATTATTTCCGTTTTAATTGATGCTAACGTTTGAAATTGACTCTAAAATAAGAAAATATGAATTAATTTAATTAACAAACGAAAATAATAAGTTTACTTTATCGAGTGCCGGAAATCTTTTTTGTATTTGTCGAAGAACAGATTCAAGACTTTTATCAAGTAAAAATGATGGCTTAGATTTTGTTTCAGCGCATGCCTAAAACAAAAGTAACATATTTCTATTTAAATGACAAAACATGTTTTCTTTATAAACACAAAAACATACTTTTTTTATGTTAAATATTCTTGTCAACATCCCAATTCCACGATCATTCAATATGGTCAATTTTTCAGCTAATTTTTGTTGATGAGGATTAATTTGATGAGCCATCGTTAATCCTTTAAAAGTTTGAAAAGTTATCTACAAGAGAAACTCAGTTAAATACCACTTCTACTGATATAGCAACGTTTTCTTCCACAAAAATCTTGCATTATTCTCTAGCAGAAACTATTTATGTATGACAAAACGTTTTAATGATTAATTTTTTTATATTTATTTATATTTTTGAAGCATTTTGTCTCACTGAAGTGAATGAAGTGATTTTTTTTTTAGTGTTGAAAATATTCGGAGTTACCTGAATATTCTTTATCTCTGATCATTAACACAGCAGTACACTCAACTATATCTGATCAAGAATTTATCTTAAACATAGAAAAGTTAAATAATAAACATCGTCTTTAAACATTTCATTTTTTTTTTCTAATTTCGATAAACAAACATATAACCAATTCTGAAATTACAAAAAAAATAAAATAAAATCTTCTGAAAAATTAAAGACTAATAGAAAACAAGTAAACAAACATAAAATAATAATTTTTTTAATCAACGATGAAAGCACCAAAAGAAACACATACAATCAATCACTGTTTTTAAATTAAATAAAGATATATATATATACACATGTACACAATGAAAGGCAATTTAGTTAGCAAGAAAAAAAATATGTCTGACTATTAATAGATAATTAAATAATCATATCGATCGAAAAATTATGGGCTAACTCGAAGACACGTTATATAATAAAAAAAGAAAAAGATGTGTAATCATTGCTGCATGATGCGAACGAAATATATATATTTTCGCATATAATTGAGAATTTATTACTAAAAGACAGCGGATTTTTGACCAGATAGTATATTTTTGAGAATGATGGAGAAAAAAAAGAGTGGAAACTATATGAATGAAAATTTGTACTTTACTTTTAAAACCAGGATAAACAGCTAATTTAAAAAATTTTATTGCGCAATTTCAACTAAAGATTTTATTAGAGTTGTACCATTTATGAAATGTGTTGTTGCTATTATAAAATCATTTTGATTATCTGATATATCTGATAAAAATCTTAATGCTGCAATTTCACCATATGTAACACCACCAATGAATACGACCATTGTCAATTTTGATTGTTGTAGAGTTGATGGTGTCATCTGTGTTGTCGGTTTATTTATGGCAAATTTATTTTGTGATTGTAATGATGTTGTTGATCCATGTCGTTGACGTTTAAGTTCCATGGGAACTTGTTGAGTATCAACAAGTGTTTTTCCCGGTAATAAATTCATAATATCATTTAATGCCTGATTATTTGTACCAGTAGTACCATAGACTATTTTTTCAATTAATCTAATACTAATTGCTGCATATTGATTCCAAATATAATGTATATCTTCTGGTTCATTCATATTAACATTCATTTGTAATAAATTTAAATCTTGTTTTAATTTTTCAAACATTGTTTCACTGTTCTTTGTTGGTTGTGCTGATGGCTGTTGATATAATAGTCCAACTTCTTCGAGTGAATGAATTAATACTAAATACTGTAAACCGTATCTGTTAAGTAAAAATTGATGATTAATAAAAAAGAAAATGTAAATAATTTGAAAAACTTCTACACTTACGTTTGTACAATATCTTTTTTGATTAAATCATATTCTTTTTGTTTTAATGTTCCATTCAAAACAAAACACATCACTGATAAATATCTCAAGATATGAAAAATATTTTCTTTGTATGCAATTGCCTCTTCTATGGTTCTGATTGCTTCTTGTAGTGATGCATCAAATAAAAGTTTAAATTGATTATAAACATATTTATCAAGAAATTGTTTTGCTTGCTGTCGAATATAATAAACTAATTCAAAATGTGTTGAAAATGTTTGTGACTGATCACCACGTAATTTTTGAACAAATTCTTTCATTTCAACTAATTTTTGACCTTGTAATTCACCTGTTTTCGTATCTTTATATTTCTTCTCCCATTCCTCACGTAATCTCTTTTTATTTTCAACACGTTCTTTCATTTTCCCTGATACAGGTACCATGTTTGAATAACGTATTTCAGAATACAATGCATCAGAACTCAATAGACGGACCATTAATTTTTCTTCACTACTGCTATCAATTTTTTGAGTTTTACAAAAATCTTCACTTAAAATCGATGTGGGAAGTTCAATGCGATTGAATTTAATACCTGAAAATAAAGTGTAATGTAGTTTTTCAATGTTAGTGTAACTAATAGACTTACCGAATAATTCATCAATTAATGCTTCGTATGTACCTGGAAATAACATTGGTGTTAAATAATCAACCGATCTATCTAACAGAATTAAATTATCAATTTGAGGTGGTACTCGTTTTTCCTTATCGGGTATTTCGCTTTGTAATCTTTGCATACTATTATAACATGCTATCGCTTTGTCACCTTTAACATAAACATTTGGTATTATTCCATATAAATTTTGTATAGTTGTTAAACCTTGTGCCATATTGTAAGTAGTTGTTGTATCATTTTTCTCATATAAATCTTTAAAACAATCATTATATTCCATTGTTAGTAGATCTTGATCAATTGGTAAAAAATCGAGATTTAATTCATCAATAATAATATCACCCCGAACACCTTTTTCTTTCAGTTTCTCTTCACAAACACGACTACGACGAGGTACAAATATAATACCATATTGTTTCGTTACTGTTGCACCTTTCACTTGTTTCAGACGTTGTTTTAATATACTCAATTCATCTTTAATCGTATTGGCAATTATTTCCATATACACTGCTTTTGGACGGACAATAAACAATGTTATTTTATAATCACTTGTATCATGTTGACGATCTTTAAATATTCGCACATCGCTTGCTTGAATATCGTTTAATATCTGAATATGACCTAAAATTTGAAGATAAATCGGCGATTAGCTTTTTCATTACTGACAACAAAAACGCAGAAGAATTATTCTTACTCAGCTCATTTCAACTTACACAAAAGCGATGATATTCTGTCAAAACAACTGAATAAGAATTTTCTTTTTAATTGCCTATCTTTATGGTACAAAAAAACTAACCTAACAAAGTTTTAATATCATCATCTACAATAACACATTTGTCTTTAGTAAATTGACGTGGTATATTTGATTTTTCCGTATGAAACTGGTCCATACAACGTTTCAATTGCTGTAGAATATAATCACGTAAAATACATAGATTTAATCGACCATTTTTTAAATAATTAAAATCTTGTTTATTTGTTAATGGATTTCCAGCTGTAGATAAAGGAGTCGCCATTTTAAGACCTAAAATAATATCAAGATATAACAAGAGACGATATATTTAAAATAATTTAATAATTTCAAAAAGTGAAGAGTGAAATGAGAAAACACCAATAATGATAGAAGATAGGAAACTGCTTTCACTTAGATTTTAAGGATGAGAGCTGACCACTTTGTTGATCTTTCTAAAAAAAATAGACCAGAGCAAAGCTTCATCAATTAGGACCTCTGGATTTAGCTATTTTCACATGTAAAACGATATATTAGACTCAATAGAATTGAACTTTCACTAACCTAGTGTTTACTAGGTGACAGGCATCCACATATTGAACCAGTTAGTATTCTCTTTTGTCTGCTTTTCGAGATATGATTCTACTTCTCTGTATATAAAAATTATATGAACGAATCGTCTCCCTACATTTTTTCAAACTCGATCTCGCTTCCTAAATCTATGTTCACATGCACATCTCCTCTTAATTTGGTCTCTTGCATATTTAGACGTTTGAAAATTTTTGTACAATGATTAGATTTGCGAGATATTAGGATGAGATATGCAGACAAAGATGAATGCGGTTTTATATCTATTTCGTCGTTTGCCACTTCTCAATTGAGATCGAATAGGAATAGTCCCTAAAGTAAGCCCTTTTTTGTCTGATATCACTTTTCATTAGTTAAAACCGACCAATGGAGTGGGAGAAATGTCACATTATTCCCGTTGCATGTTTATTATCGGTGAAAAGGTACATCAAGATTCACATCTTTACCGAATATGTTTTACCTACTCGTAATGGATGATTACTGCTTAGCAGGGAAGCAACTAAATGATATTTTCTGTCAAACGAAAATCTGTGAGAGATAGAATTCAAAGAAACTATCGTAGAGTAACCCACTTCTGTTTTGGTGCCGTAGTGCAAGTATAAGATTAAAACAAAAAAATTAATAGTATCAGATTATTATTATTATTATTAATCTGGATTAATTGTAAATGCTATGTTATGTTTCTTACACCCTAGTTTCCTGAATTTCTAATTCATTTTCTTTTGACAAAGAACAAAAAAGAATCTAACTCTAAATTTATAGTGTAGAGATCCGAAGTTCTCACGCATCTCTGTTATCCATTCCTCTCAGACAGATTTAGTGACAGTGACCCAATCCTGAACTTCCTTACAGGTAGTTTAAAACGTCAATCAGTTGTTCATATTGTTTAAAGAAAGCGTCAACAAAGAAATCAATGATAGTAAAAGTAGCAATAATTTCTTCAATTTTCTTGGTAAATTTAAAAAAATAAAGATATTCATAGAAAAACCATGGTGAAGAAAATAAGTAAACATTCACGTTAAAGAAACACGTCATTAAGTGACATTTTAGCTTTTGCAAAGTGTTAATTCAATAAGACGAAAAATCTATTTTGGGTAGTGTCCGATGAACATGCACAAAAAAAAACGTGTCCACACAATTATCTGGTAAAAACGTTTTAAATAACGTTTTCCCCTAATGTCATGGTAAAGACATTTCAGCAAGAGATACGGAAAAACAACATTTTTACTGTAATTCGGCTACGGGTTTTGTGTGAGGTTTATAGTACTAGTGAAGGTCCTGTCACATACAGGGCTATCTTATGTAACCTACAATTGGGCTATTTATTCACCAATCGTTTAGTTTCGAATAAAATGAATCATACACAGTTTTTCAATAAAAGGTGTGAATGACCGACAGATCAACCAGTTCATGTAGGTTCGCGATTCCTTCGTCAATTTATTCAGCATTTTTAAAATTTATTCGTTACTTCAGATTTTAATTATTTAACTAAAGAGCAGATGAATGATAACAATAATAGCAAAGATCCATATGGCCTTTTAAGTATTTCCGACAGTAATGATGAATGTAAACTAATAAAAAACCGAAATGAATGTTTACCGCAAATGTGAGCTGTGTTTTCTTTCTTTTAATAAAAAAATATAATCTGCGTCTCTTTATTGCATAGCGGTGGCAGTAGTTCGTGGAGACTATTACGTTTTTTACAACTTACATTTCTACCACCGCAAATGTTAACTACGGCAGAAGAACGTTTGTATTACGGTATAGTCTTTCAAGTCTCAAATAGAATTCTAGCGAAATCTCGAGTAGGCTCTGCTTTGCGATGTGAAGCATCACCACTGTAGATGATAGATTCCAAGTGCGCTACAAAGAGAGACGAGAGAAGGATGGACTTGTAATACTTTCTTTCATTTAGGCTTAAGAAACACGTACTATGGCCAATATATTCCAATCAGAGGGGATAATTTTATTTGGACAGTGACTGGTAACAGTAATGACAACCTCAATACTGTACCGGTTGTCTTTATTCATGATTTTGGTTGTGCCAGTGGTATTTGGGTTCAGAATATGGATTTCTTCAGTTCTCAACACCCCTTTTATATGTTCGATATTCTTGGTTGTGGTCGTTCTTCACGTCCATCCTTCGATGGTCTAAAACACATTGAAGCTGAGACAAAATTTGTCGAAGCAATTGAAGATTGGCGAGGTGAACTAAATCTGAACTCATTTTATCTTATTGGACATGGATTTGGAGCTTTTTTATCAACGTTATACACAATAAAATACGGTCAATATATAAAAAAATTGATATTATTAGGTATAGATCTAGTGCATTTATGTTGTCACCGAATGTACAACACAATACTACAAATGTCCTCATTTAGATCCCTGGGGGTTTAATCCAAAACCCGAAGAAACCCAGTTAGATTTAAAGACCCCATGGTGGATCAAATTACTTGCTTTCATGACACAAACGTGGACACCATTTTCAGCATTTAGATTTTTAGGACCATTAGGTTTGTTTAAGTTCTCCAGTCACATTTAAAGCAGAATGTTTATTCTATTTTTCGTATTAGGTTTACCCTTGCTCAAACTGCTCGCACCACGTTGGAAACGTTTAGCACCTGTATCGAATTCTGAAGATAAAGCAGAAGAACTGTACGAATATCTTTTCCATTGCAACGTACAACCATCGAGGTAAGGAGTTTGAACTAACACACTGATTTTTCATATGAATGAAAGGATCATCGTGTATGGAGGAAATATTTAGTTCTCTATCTTAATCATTTTAAAATACAGATAACGAATTAATAGTTTCTTTTTATCGAGAGGAATGAAGTTTATTAGTGAGACGTCTGATGTTTTTATGTCGATTTTTCTAGTGGTGATGTTGGCTTTCAGGCTATGGCTGATTGGTATGGATGGGCTAAAGCTCCAATACTCACGCCTAACAATTCAAGAATAGATGATATGTCAGCTGATATACCCATTTTCTTTATTTATGGTTCGAGAACTTGGGTTGACAACACTTCAGCACACCAGATTTTAAAACAACGAAAGAACACATCTGTTAGAGTGAGTAAACGAACACTACTACCACTGAAGACATCGTTTGTGTAACTTCTCCCCTGAATTTCTGTGAAAGAGGAAAAACAAGGAGTGGAAGTTTGTACAGGGAGAAATTGCTGGAAATCTGAAAATTTGACTCACCCCATACCCCCTCCCTCTAACGCTTGCGGACGTACGTGATCCACGGACAATACTGAATACACATATGTATACGCAGACAAGCGAATGTAGATAAGCTAACGCGGACAAATTTGAGCGAGTAATGATATATTATCGATGGCATTCAATTATATGTTTGAATGGAGGAGTTACATTTTAGACCCAAGATTTGCGCTGATAAACTTTTTTCAATTAGAACAAGTTTAGTTGAAACAAACTGAAGACTTTGCCAATTTCAATTAGTTATCTCATGAGTAGCAGCATAAGCAGAAGTAAACAAGTATATCTGATCTTTGTTTTAAAAAAATTTGGAACATATTTACTATTATTATGTCTATCTCTTTCTTTTATTGTAGACTATTCACAATGCTGCACATTTTTTCTTTCTGGAAAAGCCTGAACAATTTCATCACTGTATGAATGAAATATTTGATGAACCTTCATCAGCAACACGTTGTACTATTGATTCATCCTCTCGACGAGACATTTTTTCATCAACGTCAGCTCGTTTAAAATGATTACAAGTTTTCTTTTTTTACAGCTATCGTTGTTGTTTTTCTAGTCAGATAGTTGTGTTATTGTTCATTGCGCAACCAGTGTCGGATTTGTTGTTAGTTTTGATTTTTTGAAAGACTTCGTTTGTTGAATTACTTTCAATCACTTTTTCCTATTTTCTTTTTTTACCTATTTATAGAGAGTATTTTTATGATAAATTATTTATATGGTACTTTTGTGATTTATTTTCTAGATTCCCAAACAGTTACGAAAGTAAGAATAAAATAATAGCAACAACATTTGTTAGTCATAACAACTACTTCTGTATGAGTTATACACAATGGTGTATCGGATTTAAATCGGAGATAATCTTCGAGTTTTCGGTTATGCACAGAGAATTTATGCTAATTAAGTGTTAGTGCTTAAACGTTAAGTAATGATGATCACCTAAAAATATGTTAGCTATTTAGTCTCAATAACTTGAAACATAATGTCAATTTTTTTTATTTTAGATGGCGAACGGAAATAGTTCTACTGATGTTTATCCAAACGAAATGCCACCAGAAGAGTTCGTATCAAACTATTTTGATCAAGCTATTTCAGCCTCCACACACAATGATCAAAATCCAGAGTTAGATGAAATTCCTTCAACAACAAAAATAGATCAGAATGTTCCTGACAGGTATGATTATGCGTATAAGACAATTGCAACTTGTATATTATTTCTTCTATTTTGTTTTTTCTAGTGGCCGATTTCGTTCATTGACATCCTTCACATCTTGTCTATCTTGGAATAAAACTTCACCACAATTACTCGAACGTGCGGAGAGGAGAATATTTGACACTTTAAAATCACAATTTAATGGCCGTTCGGTACCCATAATGAATAATAGTGATACAATATGGACTGTCTATCATAATCAAGCTAAGAACATTCCAATTGTCTTGATACATGGTTTCGGTGGCGGGTAAGTAGATCCGCTATTTCATTAGTCATCATCTCTAGTTTTTCTTTGTTTTAGTTTGGGATTATGGGCATTGAATTTAGATCAGTTATGTGAACAACGTCCAGTTTATTGTATAGATTTGCCAGGTATAATACGTTTTATCTCTTTCTATGATTTAACTCTTAGGTTTTTATTTAATATTTAGGTTTTGGTCGGTCGAGTAGACCGGTATTTAGTTTAGATGCAAAAGAAGCAGAGCAACAATTTGTTGATATGATTGAAGATTGGAGAAACCAAATGGATTTGAATGAGTTTATATTATTGGGACATAGTTTTGGAGGATATTTAGCAGCAGCTTATACTTTGCGACATCCTCAATTTATCAAACAATTGATTTTAGTAGATCCTTGGGGTATGCCAAGAAAACCAGATAATTTGTGGGAAAATCATTTTAAAAAAAAACCTTATTGGTTTCGACCTATGTCCTCCATTGTGATGAAATTTTCACCATTAGCCGTTCTAAGAGCTGCGGGACCGTTGGGTATGTAGAATTTTTTTATGATTGAGATTTTGTGATGTACATCTGAGAGAGTTGATTTTTTTCTGTCAGTTATTTAATATCTTTGTTCTTATGGACATTAGAGTCGTAAAAACCGCAAATGTGTATCGTTCAGTTATGTTTTCTATTTTTGAAGTCAGTTCATATCTTTAGGTATTCGAGTTATGAAATATTTCCGACCAGATTTACGCGCTAAATTTGAAAAATTATTTGATGATGATAGAATTTTTGAATATCTCTATCATTGTAATGCTCAAACACCGCCTACGTAAGTTATATCGCTCAGAGATGATGTTTACTATAATGCTCAATTTTTATTTATATTTTCAGTGGAGAAGCAGCGTTTAAAACTAGTAAGTTATTCATTTATCATTCATTTGTTTGTTAGATTCTACTATTTTCATTATTACTTGAGTTAGGCTTCGAACTAATTCGCATTCTATTGCATTATTTTAGTAGCAGATTTTTTGGGGTGGGCCAAGGAGCCAATGATTGAGCGTATTCATCTGATTGATGAACATGTTCCAATCCATTTTCTTCACGGGGATCACTCATGGATTTCTAATGAATCATCTGCAATTGCTAAGATGAACAGACCAAATTCATTAGTGACGATAGACATAGTTCAAAAGTCCGGTCATCATGTTTATGCTGACAATCCTGAACAGTTTGAGCAGTATCTACAAAAAACGTTATTAAATATGTGATCAGCTTCGAGTAAATCAAAAATATATTAAGCCAGCAAATCAAAATTTTATTTATGTCCGTATTTGTTGGTGCTACAAATAAAATTAGTCAGTTGAACGGTTTTATTTAATTTATTTCATTAATAATTAATGTTCTGATGCTTTATTTTCTAATACGTTATTAAGATTTTTATTGATGATATTTTTAATAGTTTATTTTTTACTCTATTTTAATATCGAGACATTTCTGTTTTATTTTTGATAAAATCTTCAAGTACATTGAAACATTTTTGTTTTTCAATGTTAGTTCATGTTCAATTCATTTGTGTTTGAGAATCATAAAGTAAACCACAGTCAAACTATAACATACAACGTTTGATTACGAAATCTGTACAATAATTGACCTTGTAATTTTCAGCTTATAATATAATTGTTGACACCTATAGATGTCGGCAATTCAAAAAGAGAGCATGATTTTTTTTGGCGTTTTTTAGGCATAATTGGATAGATATTATCGAATTATCTACGAAAAAAGCCATTTTAAGATTTTTTAACAGCATTTTGAATGAAAAACAAAAAGATTTTTAAAAATTATCTGTCTCAAGGTAAGTATACCGCATGAGACAGAATCCAACAACTCCCTTTTTCTAACAAAAAACCTCCTGAGGTGTCCAATAAACAGATTGTGAAGATAATGAAGCTAATGGCTCGCCCTTTCCGAGCATTAATTCTTGAATAATATCGTCATAAATTCCTTTTTTTATCACACATTATTTTTAAAATTTTTCAATGCACTTATCTAGTTCAGTGTAAAATAATTTTTCTTGACTATCAGATTGATGACGGGGATGGAAGAAGATGAATGTAAAGATGATGAGAATGTCATACTAACGTTAACGAACAAGTTTTTTAAATGACTTTTATCGGCACTATATTTAGATGACAGTGACATGTTCTTAGAACGTCCTCTACCGTCTATTTTTCTCTTCTTGGGTTACTCAGTTCATTATCACACATCTAGCAGATGGTTCTGTGCCTTTATCCTATACGATTGCCAAACAGTGATTTATCTAGTGGATAGGCCGGATGGGCGGAGCCACCCGAAAATAAACAGTTGATTTCGTTTTAGCAAAAGTTTTTTAATCAATAGCCCCTCCAAAAATTTCAACCACCCACTCGAAAATCGAAACCTAGATAAAACACTGTTGCCAAATAGTGAAGCATCTTCTCATAGAGAGATTTTACCTTGTATAGATGATGAACACTATCATTTTTCGTTTCTCTATTCTTAGTTTTCAATAGATGGCTTGATCTATTTCCTTTCCTGTTTTTGTTAAATAGGTTACCGATGACATGACTTCTTTTGTTCAAAATCTGAAATCTCTTAGTCTGCTTTTTCTCTCTAATTTTGTATATATAGCGATATCAACAGTACCTGTTTTTACTGGTATAATATCACACACTCGCTAAACGCCGAAACAAATTAAAAAATAATCGCGTTCGTTCTGCTGCATCGGCAAGATGATCAAGCGGGAGTTTTCAAGAAACAGACGAACTAAGAAATTATGGTGGATTTCAAATGGATATAGATGAATTTATCAAAATCAGATCAAAAGAGGAATTATATTGTGAGCAACAACTTAGTTTACCGGATGTTAATGATATTTTCGAAATTTGTAAAAAACATGCGTATTTCAAATCTTAGTATATTGTTGTACAAGTCATTTCAATACTGAAGCAAAGCTATTCATTTGTTATGAAAAATGTAGGAAGAAAGCTGAAGATTTTAAAGAATTTAGCTAGTTTCATTAATTAAAAATATTATGAAATGAATATTTTACCGTTGAAAGGCGGATATTTGATAAGAAGTGAAAGAATATATCAACTGAATTTACGACGTTGGGGTGCAAAGTCTGAAATAAATAGTCAACGTCCTTAAGTTGTTCATCATGACATCAATTCCTTGATGATCTTAATTTAAACATTAAGTTGAACAGTGACTCGTTTCAATAAACAACAGTAGTTCATTAAGCAGCTTTTTACAGGTTTTCGTCTTGTAAATATTTTCTTATTTTTTCCACTTTGTTTAAACAAACTAATTAAAAAATATCTTAAATTGTACGCTCACACTTCATTCTATCTTAATAAACGCATTCTGACCAGCCAAAATCTGGGATTTCACACCAAGAACTCCAGGAAGCCTTGTAAAAAATCTCTTGAGAATTTCGATAAGGTAGTACACCATAAACTAAATTACAAATAGTCTATCTGTAAGTGATGAAAAACAGAAGTAGACAAAATATACACAGAAACATCAGCAGCACAAAACTTCAATTTTTTTGTTAGAAAAAGGGAGTCATTGGACTCTGTCTCATGCCGTATACTACACTTATCTTGGGACAGATACTTTTTAAGCTAGGATTTTCTGGAAAATTCCTGAAGACGCTCTAGGAAAATGCCTAGGAAACCTCTGAAGATTTTGATTTTATATTTAATTAAAATCTCAATTCAATTTTAAATATATGATTAGTCTTTAACGAAATTATCTCAACTTCATCCGGCTTTTTGGCGAATAACGGACCCCGCTGGAGAACCAAAAGCAATAAAAAAAATGAAAGTGATATTTCTCAGCAATAAAATATTATTTTTCAAAATCCATGCTTGCTTTTTTTCCATAGATATGATGATTACAATGAAGGCAAAAAAGGTTTTATATCTTTTAATTAAAAGAACTAGATAGTTTTGCAAGATGTACAGTGCAACCACAACAGTTCCGCCCAGAATTCAGCGAGTTTTTTTATTTTAAGTTTGATTTCAATAAACTTACGGTTTTAGATGCAATTTTGCATGAACAACCCGGCAAAATACATTTCTGAGATTTAGAAATAACGATAAACATGAACATTTCATTATATTTTTCTTAAAATAGTATTTTTAATTTTTCTAATTCTATTCCAAAATGACGTTGAAAAATCTTAAATTGACTTTTTTCTAGATAACTCGATAATCACTATCCAATTATGCCAAAAAAACGAAAAATAAATCATGTTATCTTTTTGAATTGCTGGCACTTTATCAATTATGAAGAATATAAAATATAATAAGATTTCTTACAAATTTAAAACGGATCAGTACAACTGTAATTATTCGTGTGGTCTAGAGGAGGATTTTGATACGAACTAATTGTATTTATAATCTGAAAATTTAGAGACGTTTTAAATCAAATAAACTGACTACAATATTTTGCAGTTTTAAAGAGAAAGTTGTTTATGAGGATCCATCTTGAAATGAGTAATAAACGAATTTCTAACAATAAAGGATGATATTATTTGTGCATGTGTAATTGTTCTTATCAGCTGTCGTCTTCTTAATGCTGTTATTATATGATTTTGAACAATCAAGCGATGTTTTGGCGAATCTTTTGAGAAGGTAAAAATCTGCTTTCTCGTGTGTATATCTATGGTTGAATGTTGCTGACTGTTTAACTACATCACACCATGTAGTTTCATAATTTCATCTTTAGTTCAAATTTCAAGCCTCTACATTGTATCGTTCTCAAGAAATATGGTTTACAAATTGATATACCGTCGGTACGTTACCTGCAATTTTCATACTGTATTCTACGACGTTATCTAAAAGACCTAAAGAGGTAAAAAGATTTCACATTGTTAAAATGATTATTTGTTGGAATATAACCTTGATTTTAAAGTGTATCAGATAGAATGAAAGACAAATTATCTCTCAGACTCCATCAGGTATTTTAATCAAGTAGAGATACCAATAAACAAAATTTAATACGACAAATAGCAGTGGAAACGCGATGCGCGATAATCGATCGAGTTTATTAACACTATTATTATCTTGTACATATGTTCTTGATCCATATTTTTTTCGTTGTTGTTTACATTTTAGTTTATTCAAACACACCGATGATGACCAACAACGACTCCATTTTTTTAACGATGATGTACGTATATTTTCTTGAATGACGGTAACTTGATTAGACAACAATGGACTTTCTGTTGTTGTTGATAACCTTTTTAATTTAACCATTGATTGTTCTACTTCTTCTATTCTGCTGTCATCTGACGAATCAAAACTACCGTCGACATGATTTTCATGATATTGATTCTAAAAAAAAAATTGAAGTTGAAAAGTTTGTACAACAATGTTTGTATGACAGATTACCTCGGCAAAATAATGAACAGCTGTGAATTGTAATAATGATGCAATCAAAAATAGGTAACACATGATAAAAAACCAGTCTATAGCAGTAAAATACGGCACGGCAGGTATATGGGTTCGAATATCAAAACTCAATGTAGCCATTGATAGGACACAAGTCACTCCTAAAACAGGCAGCTTGAAAATTGTTATTGGACTTTTGAGTCGTTTCCAGTCATCAGTACAATTTACCAATATACACTCGATCAGCAGCTGCCGCCTGGTCTATCCAAAAGGAGACCCAGGACAGAATAACCAGCATCACACAAGGAATGTAGACTTGCAACACATAATAACCCATATGTCGTCGCATTCGTAAATCCAAATGAAGAACGGAATGGTTACCTAAAAGTAATATATGAATGTCTTTGCCATTGAAGTTGTAACATAGACGAATTTCAAACATACGTCCATCCATATCAATATTCTCTTTTGATATTCCATATTCGAAAAGATCAAATTGTGATAGTTTTAAATTGTTCATCTCAACTCCATCTTGACGCCAATCATAGATAACGTCTTGTGTTGAATAGGCATCTATGGTTAAAAGGTATTTAGTATTTAAAAGTAATTTTCATCATTTCTCTACTCACAGCTTCCTATACGTAATGGGCACGTTTGAACATCCATCGGAAATTTTCTTAATTTCATAGGGCATCCGGCTCTCAACGTTATCCTCAAAAGGAAATAAAAAATCACACATTATTTTGTCTAAGTTAAGTTTTGTTTGACTGACTCTACCGGCTAGAATATAAAAGTCTCCCATTTTCCAAAATTCTTAATAAACGATTAGCTGTTGGTATCGAATGTAGCCAACTTGAATGACTATTGAGAAAATATGTATCAGGTTTCCATATAGCACTAAAAAGGCATTTGGGATATCGTAGTTTTCTAGAATTCATTAATTTTCACTCTAACCTCAATAATTTCGTAGATACGGATATGTTTGATACTTCCTGGGGAAGAGTTAAATTTTGATCAACCCATATTTGACGAAAAAAACAGTTCATTGTGTAAGACTAGAATGAAAATAGAGATTTAAGTTTTTAGTTTCCTCATTAATCGGGAGTAACAGCACTAAGATAGCCAAAATTCATTAGATGAATCAAAATTACGGTTATTAGATAGTATTCTAGATCGAGAAAATAATTCCAAACTCCTAAATTTACATGTGTTGATAGTGATGTTGATTGTTTTAAAAACTATTCTCACCATATCATGTTCAAAAATTGGTCCCAAAGTGATAATCATCATATAAATTTGAACACGAAGTGGCTGACCTACAAGATGAAGTTTATACCATTAAAATAATTCCTCGTTAACTAATCTATGTCATTCTTACCATCATAATTTGGTCTTAGTTTTTTATTATAATTAATTAGAAGATTATTTAACACACAAGTTAAATTGTTCGCCGTTGGCCAACATTCATGTTTTTTTTCTTCTTGTGTGAGAACAATGATTAATAATACATAAAAGTCAACAATGATGAACAATAACCGCATCACAAACTCGTAAAGACAACTTTAAAATGTATTTAGAAGAAAATATAAGAAAGTGATAGGATCTCAAAATCGAAATTATTTGAATTAATTGATTATATTCATAAATGTAACTAATTCTATTACGCCCGACAAGTGACAGTAGTTAGATTTTCTTTTCTCAACAATATCTAGAATTTTTTTTTCCTTTATTTATAATGAGATACTAAAACACTCTTTTCTCTCACAAACAACATATATTCAGAATCCGTTTTGTAGAAGATAAAATGTGTGCTTTAGAACATCATAAACAGATGAATGCAATTCAATATATATTGAGAGAATAACAACCTAAGCCTTACGGCGATCTTTTTTAATTAATTCTCACCATCGTATACTCAGACTGTAGAAAAAGGTACTTTTCATCTAGAAACAGTTCCTCAATTCAAACCAATAATGAACTGACTCTTGATATGAACTTTTTGAAAACTACTTTTGTATTTTATCTGTACATTGTTAATTTAGTTAAACCTGTTACATACAGATGGTTATTTAATATTCTAGTACTACTGGTTGATACGTACCTTTTTTGCAGCTACGATATGACATAACCATCAATACGCTTCAATTTATTGTTATCATTTTCCTTTGTGAGATACTTGAAAACCTTCCAACAATTGCTTTCAAGCTTTTTTTTCATGTTCGATATTTGAGTATGAACTATTTTTGTGCTCCAAGAGACATGTTATTTTCTGACGATTATAAGACAATGGATAAAAAATGTTAGATAAAACTTCGGCAGTAGACATATTTCATTTAAGTGTCAGCTGCAAGAAGCCTAATATTTCTGTCCCGTTTCATTTACAGTTAAAAAATTTTCATCCTGTTCTGTCTCATTAGTACTTCGAAAATTTTCGACTCGTCACATAACATCCTGTGAGATCCTATAAGATTTTCGATCCACGACGATTCCTGATATGATTAATTTGATGAAAATTTAACATTTAGGTGAGCGAAATAAATGGTCCTAATGAAACCACTATGTCATATTTTGAGTCAACTCATAAAGTTTAATTATTTTTAAAACACTGTCGTATCTACAGTTCATTCTTTATGCTTATGATTATTCTCATAATAGCAATTATTTAAATAATTTGATTATTGTACATACCAGCAGCGAATTTTTCTAAATAGCTTCTGTACAAATTAATTTCCCTTATTGAAATAATCTTGAAAACGAAATGTCCCTATGTACAACTCATCACTCTTTGTGTAAAAATTAATTTCTAAGACAAATAGACGATCAATCAGCACGAAACGTAACATCTATAATTAATCGACTGGCGATTATCGAGTTATCATCAGTCAGGTCATTAGCAACTGTATAATTAATTGTCTGTTATATAGCCATTAATAATGCATCCAGCATCTGTTTAATACACATTTTTAGATGAGTGAGACAATTTTTTTAACCGGTTTAGACATTTAAACTGGGAGGGTTTTAATCAATTTCAGTTTTACCTACATGCAGTTAAAAGCCTGTTTTTAGACCGTGACTGACGTTGAAATAATGGACAAGAAAAAGTAAATATTAACAGGCAGTCTTTAGCCGATTAAAAGTCATTTTTTTTGTTATACAGTAAATAGTCTGTGTACTTGGAAGCATGACGCTGTTCATGTATTCGCTGCATTTAAGATGACATTTGAGTTGAGTGGAGACATTGCTGATGTCACAAGGAAGAACTGTGGAAGAATCGACTGATCATGCAGCTAATGAATTGCTGGAACGATGACGCTCATCAAATATTCGTTGCACGTGAAAGAGCACCAGGTGTCATTTGAGTTGAGTGGAAATATTGTTGATGACATGACGAAGAACTGGGGAAGAAATGACTCAACGATCATGCATTAATGAATACTTAGAAAAATGACGCTGTTCATGTATTGGCTGTATGTGAAGAATGCCAGATGACATTTGAGTTGAGTGAAAATATTGTTGCTGCTGTCACGAGGAACAACTCTGGAAGCAGCGACTCAGTGATCATGCAGCGAATGAATACTTCGAACGATGACGCTGTTCATATATTTTCTGAATGTCAGAGGATGCCGGATGGCATTTGTGTTTAGTGGATACATTCTTGATGTCGGGACGGAGAACTCGGGAAGAAGTGCCCCATTGATCGCACAACAAATGAGCAGTTTGCACCCTAGTTTTTTGCTAAAACTGATAGGATTCTTATAAGAATCTTATCAGTTTCTTATATAAGATTGTTTAAGATTTCCCATTGACAGTCGTAAGTGTCTTATAAGAATCTTATAAGATTTTCATAAGAGGCTCATAAGAAAAACATAAGAAGGACCAAAAATTCTTATGTTATTAATATCTACTAGAAGG